ACAAGACTCATTTAAATAACTGTTAGAACTAGTAAATGAATTCAGTAAAATTGCATGTTACAAAATCAATATGCAGAAATCTGTTGCATTTCTATACATGAGTAATGAAGTATCAGAAAGAGAAGAAACCCCATTTATAATTGTAAATAAAAGAAAAAAATATGAATAAATTTTTAAAAAGATTTATTTATTTTAGAGAGAGGGGAGCATGCAAGCAGGGGGAAGGGCAGAGGGAGAGGGAGAGAGAGAATCCTTAAGCAGATTCCCTGTTGAGTGTGGAACCGGACATGGGACTCGAACTCAGGACCCTGAGATCATGACCTGAGCTAAAATCAAGACTCAGACACTTAACTAATTGAGCCACCAAGGTGCCCCTACCTATGAATAAATTTAACCAAGAAGGTGAAAGATCTGTACACTGTAAACTATAAGACCTTGATGAAAGAAATTGAGGAAGATACAAATAAGGGGAAGATATTCCATGCTCATGGATTAGAAGAATTAATACTGTTTAAAATGTCCATACTACCCAAAGCAATCTGTAGATTCAGTGCAGTCCCTGTCAAAAACGTTTCAATATTTTTCACAGAAATAGAACAAATAATTTAAAGATTTGTGTGGAACCACAAAAGACCCTGAATAGCCAAAGCAATCTTGAGAAAGAACAACAAAGCTGGAGGTATCATGCTTTCTGATTTCAAACTGTACTACAAAGCTATGGTAGTCAAAACATATGTTATTGACATAAAAACAGGCACATTGATGGAACAGAATAGCCCAGATTAAACCTACACACCTATGGTCAATTAATTTCTGAAAAGGAGCCAAGCATTGCAATGGGGAAAGTCTCTTCAAAAATGGTGTTGGTAAAACTGGACAACCACATGCAAAAGAACGAAACTAGAGCACTATCGTATACGGTACACAAAAATTAACTCAAAATGGATTAAAGGCTTGAATGTAAGACCTGAAATCATAAAATTTAATTTTTGGATTTGATTTCAAAAGCAAAAATGAACAGTCGGGAGTACATCAAACTGAAAAGCTTCTGCACAGCAAAAGAAACCATCAAAATGAAAAGGCAACCTACTGAATGAGAGAAAATATTTGCAAATCATACATCTGTTAGGGGGTTAACATCCAAAATATATACAGAACTCAAGCAAGTCAATAGCAAAGAAGCCGAACATTTTCATTGAAAAATGGGCAGTGTATCTGAACAGACATATTTCCAAAGAAAATATATAAGTGGCCAACAAGCTCATGAAAAGATGTTCTACATCACCATCAAGGAAATGCAAATTAAAACCACAGTGGTATATTACTTCACACCTGTTAGAGTGGCTATTATTAAAAAAAAAGTTTGAGAGAATGTGGAGAAAAGGGAACCCTTGTGCACAGCTGGTGGGAATGTAAATTGGTGCAGCCACTAAACAAAACAGTATGGAGCTTCCTTATAAAATTAGAAATAGAACTACCATATGATCCAGCTGTTCCACTTCTTGGTATTTATTTGAAGATGAAAACACTAATTAAGAAATATATTGCATACCGTGTTCATTGCAGTTATTATTTACAGTAGCCAAGATAGGGAAACAACAAGAATATTCATCAGTAGATGAATGGAAAAAGAAGATGTGGTATATAGACAATGGAATACCGCTCAGCCATAAAAAAGAATGAAAGCATGCCATTTGCACCAACATGGATGGATCTGAGGGTATTATGCTAATGAAATAAGTCAGAGAAAGACAAGTTTATGACTTTATTTATATATGGAATCTAAAAAATGAAACAAGAAACAAAACAAAAACTCCAGATATGGAGAATAGATTGGGGTTATCAGAACGGCAGTTGGTTATGGGGTGGATGAAATGGGTAAACAGAGCAATGATACGGTGATGCATAGTAACTAGACTTACTGTAGTGTGTACAAAGATCAAATCATGGTGTGTGTATGAAGCTGAAGTTAATATAACATTACAAACCAATTGTAGCTTAAGAAAAAAAAAATGAACCTTGTTGAATATATCGACATAAGTCATAGCATAATTGAAGCATTAAAAAAAGTCACCAAAGTTCTTTTTTACCTTGTAATGGTATTTTACATACATCCGTATAAAACAAACATGGTAGAGATAATAAAGCAGAGAACAGATCTGCTTTGAAGTTAAGTTTTGTGTGGCTTGCATGATGTTTAAGAGTTTTCTAATCACTAACATTTAAACACCAAGCAGTTTCACCTTTAAAAACCCATATTTTCTAGGTTTTTATTAAGGCAGTAGGACAACTAAATCTGACTTTTCCTTTGCCAGCAGCTGGCAGGAACTAAGTTCTGGCTGTCTTTGGATGATGCTTTGTCTCCCAGTAGCCTCAAGCCCTTTTGATTGCTTTACTCATTTAACTGACCCATTCTGGACATTTGAATTTATGACCTTTGTCTAAAGTAATTTAGTAACACTTGAATCATTTTGAAGTGCATTCAGTTGTCAAAGTTATAGCTAGGGGAAGAAATGGGTAATTCTGAACAAAATAGAGTGGAGGCTTTTCAAAAAATTAATTTTGACCAGGATTAGGAATTCCTGAGAGCCCAAAAAGAGGATAGTGCTGAAGAACTTGTGGGGTTACTTCTGTTTGTGCAGCTTTTATTTATTTTTTTGTTTGTTTGTGCAGCTTTTAAATATGTCTTAGCTATTAGGGCATGATAATCTTTTCAGTTTCTAAAAGAGCCGGGCATTTCTGGTTGCCCAGACTCAACTTATTTTAGCAGAGAACCTTCACCTTCAATAATAACTTCTCTGTGAAATATTTACAGAGAAAAAACTGAGGTTAGTGGCAAAGCTGTTGACTGTTACCCCCGAAACTGACGCTGGTCTGGTGCTCTTCTCATTGCCCCAGCAGCCCCATGGCCAAGGATTGCTGGTGCTCCCTGTTGAAACAGTCTTAAGCAAGTCTTTGGCAGGCTTTTTTTGTTGCATTTTTCTACTGTGTAAATAAAGGTATTAGAAGAAATGCAGGCTTTTGAATACTGCCTAACCAGTTTCTGCTTGGTAACTTGCCCTGAGAGCCTCCGTGAATGCCAGCAAACAAATTAGATCCACAGTGTATTTGATATGCATATCTTTTCCCCAAACAAAATTTGAATTCCACAAACACAAATTGAGTCATTTTCCAAATGTTTGTATAGGAATGGAAGTTTTTATCCTATCCTTCTGTAACCAATACCATAAAACTTCTGAAGGTCTATGATGCATTTGTTGTACAATGTTAATCCAAAACAAAACTTTATTCTGACCAAATTTGTAGCTATCGAGAGATACCAAACTCATTTCCATTGATCAGTACAACATGTTTGTACCAACCAGATCTAAAAAATGTGTAAAGGAGTGCCATGCTGTAAAGATCTTAATTATAGTTGTAAACACAAGTGCAGCTGTTACAAATCTAGCAAAACCTCAGATTAAACAATTTAAAATTTACTGAAGATGACATTCCAGAGCCATTTTTCATAATATAAACACTCTGGGACATGCCTTTGAAATGAGTGGGATTGTCATTAATATTAATGCCACTGAATTCAAGGCTGGGAAGTCCTTTCTTTCTGAGCTTATTTTCACTGCTAATTTTGGAATAGAATATGCTTTTAACCTGAAGTATGGCATGGTTATTCACATCCTGAAAAAATTTGATTCTGTTGCTTTCGAATTATAGGAATGCAAAAATACAGTATAAGTATTCTTTCTTTATGGTCTTTTAACTTAAATGAGTTTTTTAGAATTTGGCAAAAATTAGCTGTTAATGGAATCCAATTGCATTAGTCAATTAGAAGATAGTAAATAGTTGATATTTTAGAATCGTATCAGTTGGACAATTTAAAATGCTGTATTTAAGGAAAGAATTTTATTCTGAGTGATTTTGAGCATGTTTCTTGTGAACTTGTCTTTCAGTTAGGCTGTGGTAGGACAAGCTTTCAAAACCTGCACTATTCCAATTTGTTTTTCTCATTTTCCACTTAGTGTGATTACCAGTGAGGTATCAGTTAAGCAGTATAGTATTTTCTAGAGCTACGTTCTGTGCTTTGATTTCTTATGAAATCTTGTATGATTTTTTGGGGTTTTTTTGGTCAAATTTAAGAGTATACAGGAGTCCACTGGAGGCGCTTTGAATGGGTCAGATAGTTCTAGGAGTGGGTGTGATTGTTTTGTTTTTGTTTGCTTGTTTATTTGTGACCACATTTTATTTTAAAGATTTATTTATTTTTTTTGAGAGAGAGCAGGAGCAGGGAGAGGGACAGAGGGAGAGACTATTTCAAGCAGACTCCCTGCTGAGCAAGGAGCCCAGTTCAGGGCTTGATCCCACAACCCATGAGATCGTGACCTGAGCTGAAACCAAGAGTTAGATGCTTAACTGATTGAGCCACCAGGTACCCCTGGTGACCGCATTTTAAAATTCCATTTACTTTTACTGAATTTCTCCACTGGACTGTTGAGGAAGCATCTAAATTGGCTATTGCTAAACCATCTTTAGTCTTTGATTAAAAAGAGGCAACATTTATCAAAAGAAGGCAGTTGAGTCTCCCTTATTTACATTTGTTCTTTAATTTCTGTTAAACATTTTATGACCAGAAGAATTGAAGCCAACCATTGTCAAGTACTGTGTTGTAACCTAAAGTTAGTAACTGGAAGCACAGAGCTGATCAGAAGAACTGGCTTTTTCTATCAATATAGAAGACTGGTATACCACAATGAATGCTGTTGCTTTTGTCTCCCCCTTCTTTCTTTTTGCTTTCCTTTTTTTTTTTTAATTTAAGAGGTTGTGGAGGTTTCTTGAATTCTTTCAGCATTTACATAAAATTCTGTATTTTGAGAAGGAACTCTGAGCAGATACAAAAAGCCTCTTTCTGTTTAAAAACTTTTTTCAGTTATTGTAGGATTTTCCTTCATTATCATCCATTCTGTCCTTTCTCTGATATTATATCTTCTTTTTGTTTCTCTTTCTAGGTTTATTCCGCTTTTGGTGGTGAACATCCTCTAGTATCTTCTTAAAAGGGTGTGTGGAAGGTGAGTTATTTTCTGGTCACTGTCTATTGAATGTGTCATGATTCTAGTCACGCTTGTTTGATAGTTTGATGGATATAAAATTCCATGTTAGAAATAATTTTCCTTCAGAATTGTGAAGGCATTGTTCCATTTCCTTCTACCTTCCAATGTTTTTACAATTTTATGAAGATGTGCCATGGTGTATTATAATGCTCTTTTCATCCATTGTGTTGAACTCTTTCAGTTTGGAGCCTCTTGTTCTAAGAAAATTTGTGTTCACTGTATCCTCTCTTCCGTTTTCTTTGGAGCCCCTTTATTTGGAATTTGACTTCCAGGACTGATATTCTTTACCTTCTTCCTGTTTTCCATCACATTGTGTTTTTGCTTTACCTTTCAGACATTTTTTTCAACTTTAAATTCTTTTCTGTTGAGTTTATTTCTAGTATTTTATGTTTAATTTCCAAGATCATTCTCTGAATGTTCATTTTGTTAATATTTTCTCATTTCATGGATATAGTATTATCTTCTCTGTACTATAAAGATACAAATGTTGGGGCGCCTGGGTGGCTCAGTCGTTAAGCATCTGCCTTCAGCTCAGGTCATGATCCCAGGGTGCTGGGATCGAGTCTCGCATCGGGCTCCCCGCTCTGCGGGAAGCCTGCTTCTCCCTCTTCTACTCCCCCTGCTTGTGTTCCCTCTCTCGCTGTGTCTCTCTCTGTCAAATAAATCAATAAAAAAAATCTTTAAAAAAAAAAAAAAGATACGAATGTTACGACTTTTCGAAAAAGTTTTTAAAGTCTCTTCCTTTCCCCATGTAACTTCCATGTTGTTTTTTATCTGTATATTTTTTAAATATAAATTTAGTTAATTAACATATAGTGTATTATTAGTAGCAGAGGTAGAGTTCAGTGATTCATCAGTCTTACATAATACCCAGTGTTCATTACATCATGTGCCTTCTTTTTTTTTTTTTTTTTAAGATTTTTAT